CTCTAGTTATCTACTATATATATGTCTTTTCCTTGTGTTAGGGTTCAATTTTGAACTCAGTTTTTTGCCGTTGTCGTTTGGTGCTCCGGTTGTATCCTACTATGAGGTGTTAATTGCCTGCTCACATCCTGCACTTATTGCTTTCCCCGCTTTCTGCTTTTCCACCCACACAACTCCCTTCTTCTGTTTTTCCTGCCGCCAACTCTAACCCCTGCTTACCGCTGCCGCTACCACTCCCTGCAGTTCCCCCTCCTGCTGCTGTAATCCTCTTCCACCCCCTCAGCTTATTGCAGCCAACCCTCCAACTTTCTAGTCAGCTGCCGCCCCCCTTCCCCTTGCTTAACTGTTGCTGCTGTCCCCTCATCCCTGCTCTCCAGTTGCCGCCACCACTCCATGCCAGCCCTTTGCTGTGGCCGCAACCCCCAATCAACCCCTATACCTACGGTCTAGCCGCCATCCAACACTCTCATCCTCATCCTAGGTGTTTGTTGTCATTTATTTCTATTCTAAGAACCTTTTGTTGTGATTTTCTTGTATTTCTGGAATAATTTTTTCAGTTCGCTACGTTTTGGGTTTCTTTTGGTATCAATTGGTATTAGAACTAGCCTAACCCTAGTCATATCCTTGGGTATCCTAGCATCTATTTCTCCCATGCCACCTCCACCAAAAATATTTTTACCCTACCCTCAATTACCTCTCCCAATTCTCCAAACCCTAGCCATGTCACCGAGGAGACACATGCCATAACCTACTTGGGAAAAGATACAACAATAGATTCGTTGACTGCAACAGAGACTCACCAAGATGGATGACTAGACCCAGGGTGATATTACAATCGATTGTGATTCAGAGAGTCGAAGGAGAGAGAGGGACACAGATTTGAGTCCCTTTTATAGGGAGGACCTTTGTGATGAAGAAGACAAGCCACAACGCTTTATAATCCAGGATCAAAGGAGGTCGAGAGAAAAAAAATATATGGAGGACACATAAACCTCAAAATAAATGTGGACTACCAGAGTTTGATGGAGATATGGATCCAGAAAATTTTATCGAATGACTGCAATTAGTTGAAGGAATCTTCACTTATATGGAAGTGTCAGAAGATAAATGGGTGAAATTTGCAGCCATCAAGCTGAAACAAAACACTTTCTTATGGTGCGAAAACTTGCAGAGACAGAGAAAGAGAGAGGGCAGTGACAAGTTTACCAAGTGGGAGAAGATGGGAAGGAAATGCAGAGGAAATACCTACTGCGTCAATATCATCAAGTTATATTTTTGAGACTCTATCATAGCAATGAGACCTATCAGTAGAGGAGTTCACAACATAGTTTGACCTGTTGCAGTTGAAGTATGAGTTACCAGAGGAACATACCATAGCTCATTATCTTGGGGGCCTGAAGCCTGCTATCTGCAACGTTGTACAGTTACGACCCTATTGGTTACTGGGAGATGTCCAAACCTTAGCTTTGAAGGTGGAAAGACAACAGAAGCAGAGTAAGTAATAATCGCATTCAGACAACTATCCTCATTCAAGCAATCAGTCACAGCTGCAACTATCGACAAGGGTACCTCGACAGGGAGCGGGAAGACCAGACAAGGAAGTTACAAGATAAATTTGAGTTGAAAGAAACTGGAAAAGGGTAGCTCGCCCGGTATAGTACCTACTCCATAGCTCATTATCTTGGGGGCCTGAAGCCTGCTATCTGCAACGTTGTACAGTTACGACCCTATTGGTTACTGGGAGATGTCCAAACCTTAGCTTTGAAGGTGGAAAGACAACAGAAGCAGAGTAAGTAATAATCGCATTCAGACAACTATCCTCATTCAAGCAATCAGTCACAGCTGCAACTATCGACAAGGGTACCTCGACAGGGAGCGGGAAGACCGGACAAGGAAGTTACAAGATAGATTTGAGTTGAAAGAAACTGGAAAAGGGTAGCTCGTCCGGTATAGTACCTACCGGGAGATGTTTTAGATGCCATGACTATGGACACAACTTCTAGCTGTCCAATGAGCTGAGTTGTGTCATTCACAGAGCAGGGCATCATCGAGGAAGTGGAGGAAGAGGAAGTAGAGGAGAATTCTGAGGGACATCAGCTCTAAGGAGACGAGAGAGATATGCTAGTCATACAGAGAGTTCTATAGACAAAGCCAGAGAAGGATCATTCATGGCCGAGGCACAATATTTTTCACACCAATTGTACGATGAAGAAAAAAATTTGCAGTCTGATTATCGGTTGTGAGAGTTGTTAAAAATGTAGTATTTACCTTGATGGTGAAGAAATTGGTTGTGAATTCTACTCCTTTATATGGTTGAAAAGGGGAAACGAGATAAACATGAATCAACAATGTTGTGTTGAATTTTCGATTAAGGATCAGTTACAGAAGCAAGTGTAGCGTGACGTGGTCTTTATGGATGCTTGTCATATTATGTTGGGGAGACCATGATAGTTTGACCGTAAGACCCAACATTGTTTCAAGAATGCTTATTCATTTAAGAAGGATGGGAGTCACATCATCCTTTTACTTATCAAGAATGCGAAAGTAGACATCACAGACGAGACGATAATCTTAAGAACCACCATCGTGCAATCAAGTTGAGATCCTCTAGTTGCAATGACATTGGTTTTACTGGAGGGAATTGAGGAGGAGGTTGGGATACCGACATCTATACAACCCATGCTATGTGACTTTCAAGACTTGATGACCAAAATCTTCTAGAGGGATTTTCGTCTCCAAGAGACACTCAACATGCCTTAGACATCATATCCAGATCAGTATTTTCAAATCGGTCTACATACAGATTGAGACCTGCAGAGTATGAGAAGTTGCAACGACAAGTACAAGGATCTCATTGCGAGATGTTTAGTCAGAGAGAGTACCGGTCCGTGTGCTGTCCCCGCCTTGATGATACCCAACAAAGATAGATTGTGGAGGATGTGCATTGACAGTCATGTCATCAACAAGATTACTATCAAGTATCGATTTCTCATACCTTGCCTAGAAAATCTTTTGGATCAGCTGCATGGAGCCCTTATTTTTTCCAAGACCGACTTACATAGCGAGTATCACCAGATCCGAATGAGGCCAGGGGACGAGTAGAAGATCGCTTTCAAGACCAGAGATGAATTATACAAGTGGATAGTCATGCAATTTGGATCATTTAATGTGTCCATAACGTTCATCAGATTGATGAATCAGGTGTTTTAGGCCAACATCAAAAATCGTAATGGTGTATTTCGATGGTATTCTGGTATACAATAGATCCGAGGCCCCGTGGGAGCTTTTAGCAAACTCAAGCCCAAAACAGATGGACCTTTCAGGATTTTCGAGAAGCTGAATGACAACTTTAAGATTCACCTACCGGGGGACTACAATATCTTTCCTACCTTCAATGTGATAGACTTGCCTCATTGCTATGGGGAGCCAAAAATTTCGACAAATGAGGTCGAAGTTTTTCCTGCCCCCATTAGACTGATGCGGTTCCCTTTAGAGAAGGGAAGGGTTGAACCGGCTGTATCGAAGCAAATCAGTTCTTTCAAGAGAAGGGAAGGGTCGTTCGATCCATATTGTTGGGTTAGGGTTGCTGCCCAAGGGAGCGGCCTACCCCTCCTTGTTATCTACTATATATACATCTTTTCCTTGCGTTAGGGTTTGGTTTTGATCTCAATTTTGTGCCATCAAAGTTTCTCCTTTGTTAGGGTTGTACCTGAGGATGTGGTACTCTGGTTGCATCTTGCCCCTAGGTGGTGATTTCCTCCCCACATTCCACCTTATTCTTTTCCCCGCTTGCCAATCTTCCACCAACACAATTTCCTTCTGTTTTCTCTACCTCCTGCCCGCAACTTCCTCCACTCCCTACAACACCCATTCTGCTGCTGTAATCCCCTTCCACTCCCTCAACTTACTGTGACCAGCCCTCCAACCTTTCAGCTAGCTGCCGCCACACTTCCCTCTACCTACGTGGTACCGTTGTCCCCTTATCCCTGCTCTCCATACTCTATACCAGCGCCCGTCGTTGCCGCAACCCCCAACCCCCAACCAACCCCTATACCTACTGTCCAACCAACGCCCAACCCCCCAATCTCCTCACCCTAAGGTGTTATTTGTGTTTGCTGTCGTTTATTTCTGTTTAAAGGGCTTTTTTGTTGTATTTTTTTTGTATTTTGACAATAATATTTTCAGTTCGCTATGCTATGCTTTACATGCAAATAAGCTGTCAAGGAGTATGTAAGCTATTACATTAAGGTTCAAAGCTAAAAAAATTTGTGAAGACATTTCTGATCGCAAAAAGGTAGGGGTGAGCATTCTGTCGGTTTGATTGAATCGGTTTTAAAATTAGTCAAATTGATTGCAACTGAAATCCAGAATCTGAAAAACCGAACTAATCCAAATTTTGACAAAACCAAACCGAAATTTAATTCAGTTTAAACTGTGCAATTATAAGCAAACTGAAATTTAATTGTTTATTTGAATTTAGCTAAGAAGTATTACAAATTAAATATCTATATAATATCTATTTAATTTCATGAATCCTCTATTTATTTCAATCAAATACTGTATATAATAAAAATTTTGGTTATTTTAGTTTATTTGATATGTAATTAATTTATAATAAATAATTTTAATAAAATTTTGATTTTTTGTTTTGTTCAGGTAAATAATAACTAAAATTGAATATTAATGTTTTAAAAACCAAAAACCGAAATTCAATTTTGAAACCAAACCGAATCAACTAAACTTGATTGGTTCGGTTCGGTTTTTCGGTTTTGATCAAATAATGCACACCCATACAAAAAAGTGAAAAAAGAAGATATTGTGCAAGGTCTTGTTTCATTTAAGATAGAGAATTCTGAATGTTGTTTTATATGTTTTGTCCATTTTTTTTTTCATCGTTTATTGTCAACCTGGCATCTTTAAGCTTTGCATTGTTCAATGAGTCTGGGCAAATGACCTTGCCTAATTTCCCTCTTGCTATTCATTCTATCTCTTGTTTTCAGGGACAAATGCCAGCAAGGTGAGCTTATGTTGATTTCTCTTTCTGTATCGCTGAATACCTTGTGTTTGCCTGCACATGCAAAATTATAGAATTCTCAGGCAGATGCTGCATTTGAGAAGGAATTAAGCTCTATGGGAAGAGATAAGCATGAGGGTTTACATAAAGTCGGATTGCAAATGTATAGGAAACCACACCAACTTCATTTCCGCTCTCAGGCTGATGAATTTTTGTATTTAGATGAGTTCTCTCGATGCGGTGCTAATATGTGTGAACAGACAGTTCCTTCTACTAGTTGCAGGGTAGCTCAATCATCCAGTTCATGTTCTTTGCCACAGAGGAAGTCATCAAGGCTATTATCAAAGAGGTACATTTCATGTTACTTGTAGTCTTTGCCTATGGTTTCAGTTTATGATCAGTGTAAACTTGCAAGATTTTTTTGAACGCTGTGATGCTCTTCTTGAAGGATATAAATATTTCTGTAAAAAAAGATTTATTAAAAGATAATACATGACCTTTTTTTTGTCTTTTTGACTATTGTTATTTGTTACAAACAATTATTTTAGTGAAACTTTCGTGCTGCATGCTGAGCATTGAAGCTATTTATGGAAGATATGGTTTCATTTTACTTCTAACTTTATTTATATATGGTTTAATCTTACATTTTTACATTGTTTTTTCAGCTTTTTCTTTTATAGTGCTATTTTATTCCCTTTTTGCTAGCATACAGGAGGATCCCCTTGGAAAGTTTTCAGGCAAAGAGTAAGCACAAGTTTTTTTGATAAAATGGGATCGTAAAAACAAGGTTATTACAAAAGGACTTTTTCTAGCAAGATGAGGTGAATTTATATATGAGGCTCATTGATTTCATGCCTTGATTGATAATAACCAAAATGATTAAAAAAGACCAAAAACCCATGTTGTTTCTCTCTGAATCTTGGTTGTATTCAAAAATTACCACTGTAATGCAGAGATTACTAAATCATTCACTTCTACTCGATGAGTTTTGTCTGACTTAATACTTAATGGACCATTCTGGGATTGTTGGTCTCTTATATATACTGTTTTTTAAAGTAATGTTGAATAATTTTTTCTGAGGAAATCCATCATCTGTGAACCGTCAATTCTGATTGACCTAGAAATATTAATTCTCTGTGGTGTCCTTGTTCTATTCAGGAGGAAAGCTTGCTTGGATTGGGACTTGCTAGATTGGGAGTTTGAGAAGGTAGGCATATTTTTTTTCCCGTGATTTTATTATGCAATGTTTTTTTTATATAAACTTAGATTAAGCTGAAAATCCAGAGAGCAGAATTTTTATTCACATATGCATTTATAGAATTCTAATCAACCTTTGCGAGAATTTTTAATTAGAATTAAATTAAATGTTATGCGATGGAATTTATGGGATAGAGCATGCTTTGAATATTGGATTTAACTTCCAATAGGCTTTTAGAGAAAAATGACTTGCATTCTCTCTCTTTTGTCGCATTTTCTATTGTTGCACCCAACTTATCAGTCAATATTTTCCCATAACCTACATTGTATATAAAGCCCAAAAAACTTATAATTTGCAAATTATGGATACCCTTATTTTTTTTCAGCCATCATTTACATCCTTTTCTTTTACCATGAAGTTTATGGGTGCGTCTGGGGCGGCGTCCGAGCCGCGGGGTGGCGACTGGGCGGTTGCGGCCGTTTGGGAAGGCGTCCGGGTCGCAGCTTCCCGCCGTTTTGGTTAAACGAGGCCCGCAGGTTTGACCCTGCGGCCCGTGTTCGATGAATGCCTTTTTATGCGTTTTTACGGGTTTGTCCTTAGCCCTAACACTCCTCTGTTCAACGCTGAATCTCTTGTCGCTCCTCTGCTGTTCGACAACGCCTTCATAGCTGATCATGTACACTTGAGAAGAAGGGAGATGAAGCCAAAGTTGTGTGTTCTGTGGGAAAGAAAAGTGAGCCTTGTGTGCTGGTAAAGGGAAGAGCTGATTCGAGCGGCTCGGTTCTCACAGGAAGGAGAGGCTGAATCGAGTCCCAACATGCAGAGAGGAGGTGAGGGGCTCCTTGTGAGAGATGACCAAACCGAACTTTAGCATGCAATTTTTGGTATGGGGAAGCCCAAATCAAGCCTTTAGGGAAGGTGAAGGCTTAAGTTCTTTTTAAATTGTATAAATTATTTTTATTAAAAATGTTATTACGTTAACATTAAAACATAATGAATTAATAATAGCAATTAATTAAAAATTAACTATGTTAACATTAAAATTAAAGACAAGGGAGAATAGAAGCAGTCGGTCGAACAAGCTTTATAATGTGAGTTTAGGCTTTAATTATTTTAATTTAATAAATATGCATGTTTCATTTTAAACATTGTTTTTTAAAGTTAAATTTAAAATAAATAATAACAAAATTGGTAGATTCAAATTATGGAAATTGGAAGAAGATTTTGAATTACAAGGACCACAAAGAGGGTAATTAAGGTAAGGTTTTTATGTTCTTAAATTAGAGATTTTGATTATCATCTGGAATGGATAACATTTCTGGAAAACGGTGTAGCTCGTGACATACACCGTCTGCATTTTAAAAACAATTTTACATATTATTAAATGTAATTTTTATAGTGTTTTTCGTTTTTAGCAATTTTGATACCATTGTTAAGTGAGTTGCATATCTGGATTTTTGTACTGTCTGAAATGAATGTTCGCTTCTGAAGTATTAAATATGTGACTATGAAAGTTCTGTTACAAACAACATTACTACGCAGGGGCAGGATGATCATTTTTCTAGAAAAAGTTGTTACACAACTATTTTCAAATTATAAAAAATAAACAGACAGCCAGCTTTCTCACAACAGCTTTCCCGCAACAGCTTTCTAGAGCAGTTGCTGCAAATCTGACTATGAAAGTTCTGTTACAAACAACATTACTACACAGGGGCAGGATGATCATTTTTCTAGAGAAAGTTGTCACACAACTATTTTCAAATTATAAAAAATAAACAGGCAGCCAGCTTTCCCACAACAGCTTTCCCGCAACAACTTTCTAGAGCAGTTGCTGCAAATTAGCTTATATGATAAGCTGTAGCTACCCCAAACAAA